ATGGAGAGAGTTACAGCCACATGTTAGAAGAGTAAATCGTATCGGCCCACGGTCACCAATTCCAGAGGCTGTGCTGGGCTCGCCGCCCAGGTCACAGGTGCTGTGTGGCCAGTCCTCTCAGTTGAAGGAATCAACGCACCGAGTTATGACCATCTGCATCCAGCCGCCTCACATCAAAGTTATTGACCACCGTGGAGTGGTAACATTATTTTTTTGTGTGTAATTTATGGTTACTCATTATAGTGTTTACTTGGGTTAGGGGCCATATTTATATTGCCTCTCTAACTATAGCACAGAGAGCTGCATGAGATAAAGTTTACAAATTATTTTATACATTGAGAACTTAAGCTCTCATTGGTGAAAACTTCACTGACTTATAAAGTTCTCATTTCAAATCCACTTTTTCTCAGCAAAACCATTCTAAACAGGAATAGAGCTGGAATGTAATCCTTACTTAAAGATTCTTAAAATGTGGTAACAGTATGGCATTAGTATTAAGAGATTTTCAATTACATATAATGAATTCAATACCCATGAATTAAAAGAGGCGGAACACAAATTGCAAACGCCCGGAGTTATTAATTGTTAGGACCGTGCCTGCCTTATAAAAGGTGTCCAGTGAATGCTAGTTGAATGCAATCCAATTGAATCGGAAAGCAGGAAGACGGCAGACCTGAATTTGAATACACTTATGACTGAAGCAATTAAGCATTTTCTCCTGGCTCAAGTCTAAGCAGTAATAAAAGCTGGCATCTTTTCCAGTGTATACAGGTATTCAGCACACAGTTGAAAAAATGAGAGCATGTGCCACCCCAACATGGGTATTTGGAGATTTTTTAACATCTTCCCAGAATATAGAGGAGCCATGGAATCTCCTAAGATGTTATGTCATCCATGCCTTTACCATGAGCAAGGTAAATTCCTTTTCATTATATGATTTCAGTGAACATTCAATGAAAACTCCACTTGCCAAAACCCAATTCTGCAACAGCCTTAATTAATCAGTTCATTTTTCCCAGAATTCTTGGTAGGAAAAATGGTGGATAAGTAACACAGCACACTGACACGAGGGGCTGCCACAGACAGGCTGCACACACAGAGCACGTTCGGGGATGTCCCCACCCTCCTCAGCTCCTTCTCCCTGCCCAGCTTGGGGTGAAAGCCAAAGAAGGGTCACTTGATGCTTCCAGTCCAAGTTCAGCAGGCTGACTTCTATTTTTTATCTTTAGAGGACTATGAAGAAGAAAGTATGAGGTTGCATGACAAAATAAGCCATTATTATTGACAGGTTTGAGCAGAATGACAACGTCTAATGTCTCTTAATTGATATTTCCAGCAATAAGGGTGATAAACACGAACAGTGAGCTGGGTCACACTGAAATTTCTGCGTGAGAGCAGACGCATGGGCAGGGGCATGGGGACACGTGGGCAAAGGACAGATTCTGAGAACCCCAGTCCTGGAAGGAACCTAACAGTAACCTTTAATTTCCCACCTGGCGAGGGAATTTTTACAATAGCATTTGGCCTCTTCTTAAATATCTTGATTAATGAGGGACCCTCTTCCTAATGAGTTACTTTGTAATGAGTCCACAAATTATTAGACGACTCCTGTTGACATGTCTTCTGCAAATTTCAAAAGTACTCTTTCTGAAGATGTCTTCATTCATGGAAATGAGCAAGGGCCTCCCCGTCAGGGAGGGGCTTTGACAGTCAGCACCAGAGAGCCTCCATTAGGGTCCCTAGAAATGCTTCGCAGAGATCAGTACACAAGGCTCTAATGTAAAATTTAAGCATAGCTTGAACTGTCTAGAGCAATCCAAGTGTACAGAGCTTTACACAGAATGACCACCAAAAACATCATGTGCATGAGTTCAGAAAAGGCCAAGGACCATTCAAAAGTATTTTCAGTTTGTCTTCTAAAACTGGCTGAAATATGATGGTGTTCAGTTCTATTTTTGGAGGGGGACGCCCTTCATTTTTCATAATGGAAAATCTTAGGACTGGAAAACCACTGGCTGTGTGCTTCCCCTTGTTTGCTGCAGGCTCCCATCAGGAGAACACAGGGCCGCACAAAGTCTGAGTCCTCACCCCATGCGCTGATTTAAATTAATTCAGTTCTAAATTATGAGCCTTCAAAGGGATGCAACTCACTGAAGGTCTAGCAAATGACCTTATGTCTGCCTGAACTTTCTCTAAGTAGGGCCAGGACAATGCTAAAAAAAAAGTCTACTGAGAAGTTTGTATTCACATTCCACACTGTACTGAATGCCAGTCCTGCTTCCTGAAATGCTCTTTCCCCACTTGGGTTAAGCAAAAGCTTCCCTTTATTTGGAGCCATTACCCCTTTGGTACAGGTGGTTGGTCCTGGGAAGTACCAATATTTAGTATCGACTCTCAAGGCTGAACTTGGTCCCCATCAGCATTCAGGCAGCTCCCACATGCTGCAGGAAATGCTCAGGCCAGCAAGACCTCCCCTCCTGCAAGGACACCCACCTGTGCTGAACGGGATCGAGTAGACGAAGCTCCCAGGAAGCTGCTCAGCAGCTCTTCGGTACCAGAGGGGGAAATGGTCTGCGTTAAAAATGTTCTCCTTGTCTCCAGCTTTTAGGAAGTCCCTTGAAATGGGGAGAAATAAGAAGGGCATGGCTCAGCCAACCAGTAATCCAATTAAACCATGGGTGAGGGGCCTGATCAGCCATTTTTCCAAAGAAGATTTATAAATGTCCTACAGGTACATGAAGAGGTGTTCAACTTCACTAATTACCGTGAAAGTGTGAATTAAAACCACACTGAGATAATCACTTTACATTTGATAACAAGTTTTGGCGAGGATGTGGAGAAAAGGGAACCCTTGTGCACCGTTGGTAAGAATATAAATTTTTGTAGTCACTATGGAAAACAGTATGGAGGTTCCTCAAAAAGTTAAAAATAGAACCACCATAGGGTCCAGCAATTCCACTTCTGGGAGTATGTCCAAAGGAAACAGCAATGTTAACTCAAAAAGATATCTGCACCCCTACATCCACAGCAGCATTATTCACAATAGCCAAGATGGCAAAACAACCTGAGTATCCATCATAAGATGAAATGGATGAAGAATTTGTTGTGCATATTTATACACACACACACACACACACACACACACACACAATGGAACATTACTCATCCACAAAAAAGGGGGAAATCCTGCCATGTGTGACGGCATGGATTGACCTTGAGGGCGTTATGCTCAGTGAAGTAAATGGAGAAAGACAAATCCTGTGTGATGTCACGTATATGTGCAATCTAAAAACAAGAACAAATACCAAACTCAGAGAATAGAAAGAGATGGGACTTGTGGTTGCAGAGGTAGGGAGTGAGGGCACTTGAGGAAGAGGGCCAGAGGTACCAACTTCCAGCGAGAAGGCAGGTAAGCCTAGGGATGATGCGCAGCATGGTTATTACCACAGGAGACACTGCTGTGTGAGGTACAGGAGAGCCATGAAGAGGGTAGGTCCCGAGGAAATTCATCATGAGGAGAAAATTTATTTTCTTTTTATTGTGTCCACAGCAGTCCCCTCTTATCTGTGGTTTTGCATCCCATGGTGCCAGTTACATGGGTCAACCGTGGCCTGGAAGCGGGTGACCCTCATTCTGATATTTGGACAGAGGGTCAGCAGTGGCCTAATGCTAAGTCATGACACCTACGTCATTCACCCCACTTCATCCCCTCATGTGGGCATTTCAACCTCTCACATCATCACACGAAAAGGGCATGTGCAGCACAATTAGATAGTTTAAGGGCCACAACCACATAAGTTTTATTAACAGCATATTGTTCTAAGTGTTGTGTTTTATTACTAGCTATTGTTAATCTCTTAGTGTGCCTGATTTATCAATTAAACTTTATCATTAGTAGGCACAGGAAAGACACAGTATATATAGTGTTTGGTACTGTATGTAGTTTCAGGCATCCACTGGGGGTCCTGGATGGTATCCCCTCAGATAAGGGGGATCACTACATGTGAGGTGATGGGTGTCACCTAACCTATCATGGGAATCACTTCACAATATACTTGAATCAAACCCTCATGCTGTATACCTTCAACATACACAGTGGTGTATGTCAATTATTTCTCAATGGAAGTAGGGGGAAAAAAGGGGAGACTGGCACCACTCCATGAGGAAAAGCAGGGCATGGCCCATCCCAACAGCCTCTGCTGGGTAAACTGGTGCTGCCTTTGTCGGTACAGCAAGCCCCCGATTAACACCACGCACCCCACATTACTCAGAAATAGCTTGTAGAACCCTGGCAGCCAGGCTCCTGATGGGTGGAATGAGTTTCCCATCATATGTACTCAACTAATTAGTATTGAAAGCAGGCAAACAGAGCCTCCAGAAATCTTATCAAAAGGCCAAAGGGTTATCAGAAGGTTCAGTCTTATCTTAAAATCCATGCACGGGACCTACTCTTGGGCAGATCAATTTCTTCAGTAGATCTCACTCTTAGCAAAGGTATAACAGAGGGAAAAGTGGGCCCATGTGGCCATGGGCCAGGCATGGCCTTTTCCCTGCCACTGGTGTTCGGTGGTGAGGTGTGTGTGACACAGGAGTAAGGGGCCCTGCTCACACTACCTCACACAGCTTCTGAGGTCCTTTCCCAGTCGTGGCAGGCAACATAACAGTTTGCTGGAAGGTGTGAGGCTGCCCTCACTGAGATGGCGGGGGACATTCAGGCCACAGGTCTGGAGTCCTGTGTAGCTGGGTGCCTGGTGCCTGTGCCCCTCGGGCAGTGGGGGGAGAGGCGCCCACACTGCTTGCTCTGCCTTAGCACTAGTATTGATGTGAGGAGGCCTGCTTGCCAGGAAATTCCAAAGGTACCACGGGGTGGGTCACAAGGAAGCAGGAAGGAGAGAGCGGAATCCACAGAATCTCAGAAAACATTCTTCAGGAAGACAGGGCCTTGTGGGGAAGAAGAAAGCCTACTCTGGGTGCTCGGGGTGCTGAGGACTCGTGTGAGGCAGGTCTGGGCTTGAAGCGGAGCTGAATGACCCTGGGGGAGCTACATGGGTCAGTTAGGAGTCTCTGAGCCCCCTGACTCCTTTATAAGTGGGAATAATAACACTAAGCTGCCCACAATACTATCATGATTTCAGTCCCACTGCACGTGAAGGGGCTGCACAAACTGGGTTGGTCTCCAATGAATATCCGGGATCCTGAAGGCTGCAGAGGTCCTTTCCCATCCCGTGGTTCAAGTGGGAGCTGCAAAGTGGACACCCCCCAGCCAGGACCATGCATGAGGAGGGGCTGCAGCCAGTCGCGGAGGCTGACGCTGCTGGATGCTGGCGTGTGTCTCGCGTGCTCCAGGGGGCCATACCGAAGGCACAGAAAATACTGGGAATACTGGGGAAGATGCAGGTCACAGAGGCCGTGAGCTATGATCGGTCTACCTCCAAAAGCAGGCAATGGGGACAGGAGATGAGACCTCAGAGTTGGAGGCTGAGGACAGAACAAGAGAGCTCTGGGCTGGGTGCGCTCTCTCTGTAGTATACTCCTTGATACTTGGAGCTCTTCCTCATGTGCCCTCTTTAAAAATAAAGAAAAATTCTAAGCGCTTTCTAGCCCTGCCTAAGAGTGTGTATCCAAATAGCTGGCTCTCAACTAATGCCATTTGCTTGGAGGGGGTAGGCAGATAGAAGACCCTAAGAAAACAGGACTTAAAGTGCCTCTATATGCATCAATGACAGGAGTTTCTTGAAGATAGAAGAATTAGTTCATCCATCCAGATACCCGAAGAGTAGGCACCTGGGGTCTCAGTAATGCCACAGGAGTAGAACTCATAGCTGCAGGAATGTTTAGCTTCTCAAAGCAGTTTTACATTCCATAGTCTTTGTGACCCTCCCAATAACCCAGAGAGGCCATTGCCCCCATCTTCCAGATGCACAGAGTGGAGGTAAGCCAGGTGCACCCCCCAGCGGTCCTGAGCATGGTCCGGTCATCTTCCAAGGCCAACACAATAATCCAGATATCACACTAGCGATGGGCCACATTACAGGCTTGATGCCTTAATCTCAGAACGAGCCACAGCGTTCCACTCTGAGCACTAGAGTCCATGCCTGTGTCTCCCTTGGCCTCTCTGGGGCCTAAAAGGAGAAGGCAGTGTGGTCTCCAACTTTTTTGCTCTTCCTAGGAAACTGACCTCTGGAAAAATAATTGTTCTGGACTACAGAGCTAAGAGGGCTTGCAGAAAAACCAAGTCACAACCACGGTCAACTTCGTAAACGACGAATGTGAGATGCTGAGAAAGAGTCCTTGAATGGGAATTAAAAGCCCGTCTACAAAACATCTACAAAAATCTGTTGATCTGCAATTTACTTCACTTGGTTTTATATAACATAGGGCTGGGCCCTCATCTAACAGAGGCGAGAGCTCTGGGCTCGATGGGACAGGAGCATTTGCTCACTAGGCTCCTGCTCGGCCAACCCTCTCCGACTGGCAGCCATGCTTCGCCTGGTTACTCATCCCAAGGTTTCCTGAAGGTCAGGATGCAAAGGCTGCACGGTAACCTCTGAACTCCCTACACTCATTTTGCCAACTTGCTGAGTCCAAGCTCCATTTGTCCCTGGCCCAAAAATGCCTCTACATCAGAGAAAAAGACATTGAAAAAACCCATTACTGAGCTCAGGAAGAACTTCCCCGGCTCCTACTAGCTGGGCTCAAGCACCAAGCTGAAGAGCTAAGACCGTGTAGCTCTCTGAAGACGAGGGTCTAAGCAGTGGTTTAACGGCGTCTGGGTCCTGGACTTGGAGATGCCCTGCACACTGTCCACCTGGGCCCCTCTGGAAGCACAAGGACACATTACCAATCCCAAGGGCCACCTGCCTGCCCACTTCTCGGGGTGGGGCCCTGCAGCCCCTGACGCTCAGCGCAGAGGCCCTGCCGTTAATTAAAACACGCACAAACAAATGAACAACAGACTTGGGACACTGGTTCTCAGACAGGCAGCAATTCCTCAGCTGAGCTGTGGAGGAGCTGAACACCCTGAAGCCGGCTGTCAGGAGATGCGTGAGTCCACCGTCTGGCTGTGCCCCCCACAGCCGCGCCATCCCCAGAGCTCCAGAATGACTCACCAGGGCAGGAGGGGCCTCCAGGAGGGTGGCCAGAAGCCAACAAGCAAGGAGAGCACAGGGTTGTGGAAAGGCCAACACACAAAGGTGAACACACACACCAGGGCCCCCACGGAGGAACACAGAAGGGAAATACCACCCGGCCGGGGTGGGGGGCGCCTGAATTCTGTTTCTGGGTGGTGGGATCAAGCAGTGATGCAAGCTTCCCTTTGCATTTCCCATTCCAAAAGCTACTGGGCCCCTTCTACTTACTGATTGGTGAGCTGCTCGGCCCCTACAAACAGGTTGGTTCTCGAGAGGCCCGTGCGGGTGCCGAGGAAGGCGACCTCCACGCCCTTGTCAGAATTCCTGAAACAGAGCAGCAGACCCCAGGGGATTCATCCAGACAGCCGGCAGATAAGCATTTTAAGACTCAGAATATTTTATGAAACAGTAGTTTGAGAACTGAAATGTTAAAAGAAGTGATAGAAACACACACGCATGCACAGGCAGGTGCCAAGCACAGAATGAAAACTCTTCTCCCTTACAAAGGTGTTGGGAAATCCTCACAGGAGGAACTCTAGGACAGGTGTGTCCCCAATGCTAACTAAATACGCCTTCATCTCAAGGGTCCGGGTGCAAGTTCAGAGAGATCAGGCCCGGAGCGGGAATGACTGTCAGGAGAGGGCGAAAGTCCTTAGAGCTAGCTTTTTGCGTTGATGTTACCAAGTCTCTGCTTGGTTCTGAGACCCCATGAGCAAAATCTGTCATGAGTGAAAAGAAGGGACCGAGCCACACCATCAAGTCTGCAGGGTCCTGCAGCCTGGAAATGTCTGCGACTTAAACACTACACCATTTGGGGAGCACCGACTTTTAACTTCTACCAGAGCACAGGCCCAATCTCACCACCAGCACCACAGAGATGAGGGAAGAAATGGCTTCCCCAGCAGTTCGGCAGGATGCCACACCTACAATGAATGACCTTAGCCAAGACAACTCTTCAAGATTCACTATATATATATTTTTTCAACTAAGGGAACTTGCATATGTTTGAGGATGTCCTTCAGGATATTTGCAATGCATATGTCTTCATAAAAGGCAAATGGTCTTTCTCCACAAATACACAATCTTATTCTACAATAAAAGTGCAAAGAGAACACCGATTCGAGTCTGTTTACCTTCCTTAGATGTTAGTAGCAATTTGATGCCAACCATTACCCATGTCATCTTCAGCATGAGATCGCTTGGTTTACTCGATCTCTGATGGCAGTCAAAGCGGCCAACCTACCTTTAAGTGTGTAAGGGGTGAATAAGAATGAACAGTGAGCATTTTCCTGGGCCCGCAGCCCACACCATCAGGAGAGTCAGGCCGCCCCGTCAGTTACTGATGCGACTGCGAAGCAAGCTACCATTTGGGGATCTTTAGCATGTGTTAGGAGCACATCAGCAATCTTTGCACAGGATTTTGAGTTCCATGGGAGCTTAAAACAAACATTTCCACACCCACCAGACGATGTAATCCCAGAAAAAGTTTTGACCCTTTCCCCACATCCCCAGGAATAAGAACCACACTGGCAAGTGGCCCGAGGACATCCCCAAATACAAGAACAGCAGTCTCTCTCTGGGGCTCTAGTCTCATGTGTGAGACTGCCTGGCTTACATTTCCACTGCGGACATTTAGAGTCATTTTAAGCTTAAAATGTCTAATAAAGAACTCCGGCCCTGTCCTGTCCTGAACCTGCCCTTCCTTCACTGTCTCCTGTCCCGGGAGTTGGCAGCACTATCTACCCATGTATCCATGTCATCAATCTGGGAATGACCTTGGCAGCTCAGCCTCCCTCCCCCCATTCAGCGAATCCACCATCCAGTCCTGGGGCCCTCCTTCCAAAGAGGCCACAAGCGCCTCTCCCCGCTGCACCACCACTGCCTGGGTCCATGTGGAAATCCCTGGAATACTGGAGGGGCCTTATTGTCGTTCTTACCCCATCACATTCTACTCTCCACAGAGGAGGGAGTTTCCTTAAAAATGCTCATCTGTTCATGTCCTTCTGGAGACCTACAATGACTTCCCAACACTCTGTGTATGAAATCCCAAATCCTTACCCCGACTCCCAGGGTCCTGCACCACCTGGCCCCCTGCAACCTCATCTCCCGGCACCTTCCAGCCTGCCCTCGCTGTTCCAACTCTCTTGGCCTTCTGTAAATTCCTCAAATGTGCCAAATACTTACTCACCTCAGGGCCTTTGCACAGACTCTTCATTTCCCTGGAATGCTCCCCAGCCCTCACACTAATTCTTGCTCAGAAAAGCCTCCGTCTCCCATGTCCATTCTAGGTGTTGTGACAGTCTACACCCCTTTACGTGTGCTTCCAAGTAGTTACCACAGTTGGTAATAAGATAGCACCTTAGATAGCACAGGTGCCATGGCGAGGGCTATGTTCCATTTCACCAACCCCTCACCCAGTGCCAGGCACATACAAACATGCAGTTGATGATGCATGCATGCGGGAACAAGTGGAAATGGTACCAGAATGAATGGCAGGACAGAAGACAATGTACGGAAGGGAAGACAATAGAACGTAAGGAACTAATAAACAACAGAGGAAAGACTGCTGAAGGTATGAGGAAAAAGGAATGATTTTTCAAATTTCTAATCTCCAACAGCCTACTTAAAATAGTAAGGTAATAATAATAATAATAATAATAATAAAATAAAATAATACGAATCAGCTGTGGAAGCAGTTCTCGCCCTAGTCTTTGACCATTCCATTGCTTGCCACCCCCATCCTGCACTTGAGAAATAAAACCTTGGGGTTCAGTCTGCACCCCGGTGAAATACTTCAAGCTGACCTGGCCCAGAGCCCCAGTTCCGGGAGGGCTATGGCGGGAGCTGGCGCAGGGCACAAGTAGGCCGATCCTGTTGCCGCCCTCTGCCTGGAAGTGTCACCCTGCCTCAGCACACCAGATTCCATGTGATGTCAGAACTCAAATTGTATGTCAAACCCGGGAGCTTGCCATCCCAGCCCAAGCCACAGATATGCTTTAGCTCTTGTAGGTTGGCGCTTTGGGGAAAATTAAAGCACTTTAACACCAGGTTCCTAAAACCGTTTAGTTCTTCAAACCATAACCATATTCCGGACGGCTTGTGGGGAAACGGTCAGGAAAGGGGGAACACGTGCAACTACTTACTCAGATTTGTTGAGAGCCAGGCTGGTCCAGTAGGCCTCAATGGGGGCACTCACCACGGCGTCGAACAGCACTTCCTGTATCAGCTCTTTATCACCTGTGGGGAGGGGCAGGCTTGAGAAGACGGCTTTGGCTGGGCCCCACATTGGGGCACAAGGGGCTCGTTTTGCAGTATCTGCCCACGACCTTCTCACTCCCACCCACTGAGAATTGGAAAGAGTTCTGGGATGCGGCCACGGTGAAGGGAGAACCACGGGGGGTCCCATACTTCTGTCCTCTGCTGCCCCACCCCTGTCGGTGCCACGGACCAGCATGCCAACGCGGGGCTTTGCAGACCAGAGGGCAGCCCATGAGACTGTCTGCCCCCTTCATCCCTTTCCTGCCTTCTTTGAAAATATGCGGTTCAGGGCTCTGATCTCAGCCAGTTGTAAGGGGAAAGGTTATATAACTTAATAACTCCTGGGACTCTTATTTTGTGATTCCTCCCATTTAAGAGGTTTTTTCCCCCTCATTCTTAAGGGACACCTGTCCCTACCCAAAGGGACTGTTGATAGAGCTCTGTGCAAGAGGCTAAGGAATCAGTGGGGAGCATGGGTCCAGCAGAGGCATCCTAGAGCCCTGCCACCACCCCACAGAGGACGGCGACGCAGGACCACCCACGAAGGGCCAGTCCTCACCTAGCGGGCGGCCGAGAAGCCAGGGGAGCTTTGCAGTGAAAGCGAAAACTGGAGATAAGTCATCGTCAAAGAGACAATGGATGAATTACTCTGTACTTATGTAGTAGAATACTATGTAGTGGTTCACACGAACGCATTAGCACTGAATGATCAACACAAATAAATCTCAGTATAATGAGTAAAACATAAGTTGTAGAATAATACATATAATACAGTACATATAACATATAGTAAATATTTACACAATACACATACATTTTAATATACAATATAAGGAAAATCATAGTACATACTATATGGATGTGGTCATAGCATACAATGTGCGGGAATGAACACGTATAGGACCATGATCGCTGGGAGGGAAACGGGACTGCATACAGGGGGCTCAGGGGCGTCCATATTATCTGCTAATGCCTCAGTCCTGAAGCAAATATGGCAAAACTTTAAGATGTGATTAAAACCGGGTAGTAAGTGTCAATGCTTTTTAAATATGTCATCCCAGAGGTGAGAGCAAACAAAGAGTCTGGCTCACGCGATGCCCATCTGAGCCTTCCTCCACCAGAGCACATCCCGAAGAGGAAATCGTTTGGTGAAGATCTGGTTTAGGAGACGGAGAGCCTCCCGGTAGCTCCCACAGGGCTGCTGTGGTCGTTCAATGAGATCCACCGCACTGGCTGGCTGACCCCTGGGAGGGCCAGGGCCCTGCTCCCCCTGCCCAACTGGCTCCTGCAGCTCCCACCCGCTGGTCTGGGGATGGCCCTGCGCTGGCAATGCCGACCGTGCCCGCCCTGCGCCAGCCACAGGCCATACAGCACACGGGCCACACGTCGCCATGGCGAGCGTGACCTCCAGTGGCCTGTTCCCACAGGAAGCTGATGCCCGGTTGGATTTCTGTGTCTGGTAGTCCCCGCCAGAGCGCCGCTTCCCCTGCAGACGGCACAGGTGGCACGGGGCAGGCGTGCACACTCACACTGCAGCCCCCACCCATGCACAGGAGGTGGCGGGGGCAGGTATACTCACACTGCAGCAGGGGCTCTTTGCCTTTGAGGTAGAGCTTAATAGCTTCCAGCTGAGACAGATGACGGTGCTCCGGGTGCAGGTCAGTGTTGCAGTAGGACCTGAGAACATGACAGGGCCCCAAACAAGAGCATGTGAATTTTGATAGCATCACGTCCCTTTGCCTTTGAACCAGGAGAACAAGGCAAGGGAGTCCGGACAACTGGAAATCAAAGAGGACCACAGACAACAATGCTGATGAGAGCTTACCATTCATCGGCCAAGGACACATCGGGGTGTTCTAAGTCATGCAGGCCTGGGGGTCAAAGAGAAGGGGTGAATGAGCGGGGAATGCCCATGAGGGGCACTGACCCCTTTGCCTCCCGTGTGCCCCTCGTGTCCAGGGGAAGGGCCCTGGGGCAGGTTCAGGGCTGACATCAACCCCAAAGACAGAGGTAAGTAAATAAAATTTAAGTACATAGTGATGGGGGCCAGGAAGGACTCTAGAAGCAAGTTCTCTTTCCGGTGGTACCCTCTCCGACCTTCCACCTCACTCAGCTGTCATATCCACACCTTCCCTGCCTAAGCATCCTAGGAAAGCCTCAACTCCTTGACAGTAAAGGTGCACCAGTGAGTCCTGGGAGAGGCCACCACACAGCCAGCAGCCCTGATTGGGAGCCCCGCACGGCCTGCATGGGAAGCCGGCAGGGCCACCTAACCCACGTGGGATGTCAGCGGGTTAATGTACTTTTCCAAATGTCACTTTCTTCATGTGCAAAGCAGGAATGATAATAGTCCCTAACTGATGGGTGGTTGTAAGGCTGAAATGATAGGTTGAATGCTCTGAAATTGGCAATAGTCAACTGTATTTGACCCGCAAGAATTGCTAGTTGTAACGACATGTCACCAATCTGGAAAGGTAGCGAGGCGCACGGAGGCCTGCAGGGAATTTGGAGGTCTTCACAGAATGCTCTAGAGCACCCTCGCTCTGTGAAGCCACTCTGTGCATGTGCCTTCATGTGAGCACCTTGGTGAATGCTGAGACATTCACCTGTGACATCCTCAGGAATTCTGGCGATGCTTACAGCCTATTTTAGGATGTCAGTTTCCCAAATAAGCAGCACTACCTTACTGTAGTCTATGTCCTTCTTAAATACAAAGGTAGGGCATATATAGCAAAACACTGGACCTACCATCACACATCTGAAAGCACAGGTGATGATGCCTGACTCACGGACTCCATAAGTTAAGTGACGTAGGATTAGTCCCTAGAACAATCCATCCATTCATCTATCTATACTTTTTTCTCTTTCTCCCTCTTTCTCCCTCCCAACTTTCTTCGTTCCATATATTTACTGAGCATCCAATATGGGCCAAGTACTATTCTAGGGCATGAGAATATAGCAGAAAACAAATACCAATCACTGCCCTCATTGTATTTATTTTCTAGTGGTAGAAAAGAGGTAAGTAAATAAAATTTAAGTACATAGTGGTGGGGGCCAGGAAGGAAGAGAGAAGCTGGATAAAGGGAAGGGAGAGCCAAGAGATAGGAAGGGATGAAAGACAGAGCTTCCATTTTAACTATGGTAGTCAGGGGAGGCTTCCCGGAGGAAGTGACTTCTGAGAAAGACCTGAAAGAGGGGAGGGAGACAGCCCTGTAGGTAACCGTGGAAAGGGTGCTTCTGACAGAGGGGATGGCAGTGCACAGGCCCTAAGGTGGGCTATAGGGTTAATGACATCAATTCTATTTTTATCATTTCAGCTCTCATCAACCTCCATCCACAGAGCCCTCTCTGGCCACATTTCACAGCACCTGTAGATGAGACCCCAAGAGCAGCTCTTCTTGACTGCTGTCTAAGTTCCTGGGGCACCAGGGGAACTTAACTGCTCTCTAATTCTCTCCCCTCTAATTTTGTTCTTCCTGACAAGGTCAAGTCTGCTGATGACTGATAATGCTTACAATCATGACACAGCTCCAACTGACCGAACAATTACCGTAAAATATACATACATACAAGATACCTATAAAGTGTTACGGAGATTCAGAAGAGAAATGATTTCAGCAGGGAGAACCACGGCCCTTGCCTTCATCCTCAGTAGCCACTCCTTACACTCGTGCAAAGCCCTGTGATACCCAGCTTTGTAACTCTGACCCCAGAAAAGCATGCCAGCCAGGCCCACACTCTACGGGGCGGCGTTCCTTACAGAGGGTCCTACGCAAGGGCGGTGGTCACCCCCAGGAAACCCACTCCTCCTCCAGGAGCAGAGCAGCACGGTGACGGTCCTGTGGCCCCTGTGGGTGGCAAGACCCTCTGCTCCTTAGTTCAAGGGGCAGCAGCTTTCTCAGCTCCATTCATTAGCCAGGTTGGCAGACTGGAGCCCTCGTATTTACAGGGGACCCACAGAGAGAGGAAGACGTCCTAATTCATGAGGATAAACCAGTCACTCTCCCTCTTGTCTGCAGGATCCCTCTTGCTGAGGATTCAGACTAATTTCTTGCATGGTGGTTAGTTAGCTCTGAAAATTCTGTGTGACCTCCGAGCCTAACAGCTGTGGAACATACAGATGACAGTGGCTAAAAAAATGATGCACACAATTGATTTATAATCTCCCCTCTGTTGAGCTATTTCCTCAGTTGATCTCAAATGGCTTGGACATGAATTTTATGGTTTCATGGGCACTGATATACACAGAGCCACATATGGTTCATAGAGCCAGAAAATTCTACAAGTCAAAAAAAAAAAAATCTGGGAGCACACTTCCTGTTGAGTGATGTGCCCAAGTCCCAAGGCTCCCTGTCTTGAGTGTCTCTGGGAAGAGAGACCTCACGGTCGGTCAGCTCTGCAGTGGGCACACCCTGGGCCTGTCCAGGTGGTGGTGGTGTCCTCACACTCTTTCCAAGCGCCAAAGACCCCACAGCCTGGGGGACAACGACCAGGAGCTGGGAGGTGGTGTGCGGGCAGTCGGCAGTGAGCCACAGTGACCCTGCTCGCAGCACGACTCCCCGGGGACACCCAGAAGGGGCGCTGCTCTGGTCCAGCTCCTCCTCGGGGGAGGTGCAAAATTGAACACTCCCAGGGGGCAAGTGACTTAGCAGGGCCACTCAGGGGGTGGAGCCTTTCAGAGGTCAGCCCTACCTGTCCCTGTGAGCTGACGGTGTTGGGAAAGGGGGGGTAGAGGTTGGCCCATCCTCTCCCTATGAGCTGGTGATGCTGGGAAAGTGAGTGGAGCCTTTCAGAGGTCAGCCCTACCTCTCTCCCTGAGCTGGCCGTGCTGGGAAAGGTACCTCCTCTGAGCTGCTGGGTCGTTGAAGGGACAGTGCAGGCATGACAGCAGTTCTGAAGTGCAAAGGGCTGTAACAACTGCTCCCGTTTACAGGGGGTTGACAGTGCACCCATGTTTTATAAAGACCGCAAGGTGTCCTTATTCTTGCTGACCCATGTAAAGCCCTTAAATGAACACATTTTCCTGTACACCTGGGCTGCCATGAAATGCAAATGAGATTTGTGGCTCAACAGTATAGGAAGCTAAGGCCGGCATATCTGTGTTTTCAGTTTTTATTCCCCGGGCTTGAGTTTTTAATACTATTTTATATTTTTCTTGGGACTGATTTTCATGAATGAGAAGGACACAGTTGACGATGATTCCCACGCGTTGCCTCCACAACTCTGGGGATTAGGGCAGATCATAAATAAATGAGATCATAAGGCAGGCCACTCGTTGGGGCTCCCACCCTTTGGAGACAGCCCAGGAGCGCAAGTCACGCCAAGTGGGTGGCCCGCTGAGTGAAATGCCAGGGGACTCGTCAGAGGCTGGCGAGAGGGGCAAGTTCACCAGTCACCCAGTGGTGGGCATGGGGCTTTCTCTCCACACGAAAGGATAAGATGGATCAAGGCAACGTCTTACCTTCCTCAATGGTCACGTTCCCCCGGAAGAAGTACTTCCCATGGCCCCTGGAGAGCGCCACGCCCAGGCTGCAGGGAGACACAGCAGACTCTGAGACCCGTGCCGTCCCCCGGAGGAGACTTGTGGGCTTACTGTTCACATTTCCGTTCCTGTTCTGTAAACAATTTTCCCAACAGTTTACTTTCAAAACCCCACTGATTATAGCTGGTGTTGGGTTTTCTTAGGTTCAATCAGCTGCTTCAGAGGAATGTCTGAGTGCAAGTGGCAGCAGCGACGGGCTGCTGTCGTATGTTTTTAAGAGGTGTGGCGGGCTGCTTGCCCCTCCAGCGAGCCTTCTCTCAGACACCCTGAGCCCCGGCTGCGTGCCCTGCATGGCCACCTCACCCGTCTCTGCCCTCCACTGAGCCACACTTCCCTGCATGAGAGGAGGGAATCGTGACCCCTTCTCAAGGGCAAAAGCGAAAAGTTACACGACCATGTGAGTGTAGCCACATGATTGTGTTGCGGCTTCTTTGATAAACCCTCACCCTAGATGCACAGAGTTTTTACACTCTCACTGGCTTCTGTAAGCTTCGGTTTCTGCCTAAAGTAAGAGAATATGTTATGAGAACATAGTCTCTTCACTTGGCAAACTGACTTGGCGGTCCTGGTGCCCTGCACTGGGCTGGTTCCAAATGGAACCCACCCCTGATCTCTGACACTCTATGATGACATGCCATCATGTATTTTTCAGATTAACCCACAGTCAGTAAATTCTTTCTCTCCTTAGCTCTGCTGGGCACCAGGGGAGGGACATGAAGCAGCGCCCCTGAACCAACTTTTCCAAAAAGTGTGACAACATTCCGTTACTGTAGCAGGAGACAGAAGGCTGCCTACGCCTCTGAGAGCAGGCAGTGGGGGAGGGTCGGCTCCCAGGATGGTGACCAGGAGAATAACACGATTGAAAGGTGGACAGGCATGGAAGGACAGTTCAGAGAAATCAAAACAGAAGCACAACATGTAGGAATGGATATGCTCCCTCCATGTTTGCAGGACTGTCTTTTGATCATGGAAATAAGAGATGAAATGGAATTGACTAGCAGCAAGTTAGATGGTTAAGAACCCTCGTGCCCCTCTGAAAGCATCTCTCCACCCTCAGCTGGAACCCCCCGAGGCTTATTTGCCTGATCGTGAGATGCAAAGCCAACGACAGATAGAGTGAGTTCTCCTAGGTGAGCCTGAACCATCTTCCCCCTTCTGGAAAAAAAAAACAAAAGCAGCCTGGGAAAAGCCCCTTCCTCACTCTTTCCGGCCTTTGGGCAGGGTGTTTGGCTTATCTTCGGATGAAGAGCTCTGAGAGCGTCAGCAGGTTTTGTACAAACACAACTGATGGGTCTGATGGAATGTCCATGTAATATGGTCGGCTCTACCTGAAAGGGGTACCCTTGATGTCTGTATAATAGTAGTCATTGGTCATCACCAAAACCCGTTTCTAGATTGAAAAAAAAAAAAAAAAGTCGTAGAGAAAAGAAAACACAGTTAGTCTGCAAGGTGAAGTTTTCAGAAATAAATAAAAATCAATGGACACACTACGATCAGGTTAACAGTACTACATGAATCTTTTTTGAGATAAGTAAAGACAAGAGAAAAATGATCTCAGCGAAAGATATTTATTCCAGAGAGAGCTTTGGAGGCTAATTTTTCACAGTGGTTTTAAATTAAGCGGCAAGAATGTTTGAAAAAAATGTACCCCTTTGTCCACTGTCTTCTTCACCTCCATGGAAAACTTCCCAGTCTTGCGATTCACCATGGCATTCCTCAGCTAAAATGATAAAAGGAAATCGGTGTCGGCTCTTCCCTGGGTTACCACGCACCCCCCAGCTTGGGCGCATGTCTGGTGATGCGTGCAAAGCAGAGGTACAACAGGGCTGGGCTGTTTCCCCGAGTCTTGACCTGCAATCTTCACTCAGGCCTCTAAAACAGGGCTTCTGAAGAATAAACACCCAACTGCTGTTGTGCCAGGGGAGAGAGGCTAACATCAATAAATAAATGACTTTCAGCCTTAATTTGTGGTGCTCATTAGGCCCCAGGGCAACAGATACCAAAAAGCCCACAAACATGGAGGAATCCTGACAGTCAGAGCAGCAGCCCCCAGCAGCCACTAAAATGCTCAAGAAGCAAGAACATCTCCAGGGACAGGGTCCATGTACAAAAAGGGTATGGGTTTGTCCTGGAGAGATCATTTTTTAAAACATAATCAAGTTAACGATGTTTTTCTACATGGTACTTTTTTTTTTTTAAGGCCAACCATTTGGAAGACTGGAATTAGCTTTCCATAACATGAATCATCTTCAAATGTTCTCTGAGAAATCTGGGCCAATTAATGGCCTTGCTGACGCGGACAGGCAGGGAGGCAGGGCGACCCGGTATCTGATGTCTGGAGGTCCCATTTAGGAACAGCGAGCCCCACTCCCTCCCCCACCACTGGCTGACCTCCCCTAATTATGTGTGGCCCTTCTGCGAGTTCAGAGGAGGACAGCAGACATGGTGACGAAAGATATGCCCTCGTGGGCACCAAGGGGGGACAGCAGGCAGACCACTTACTGGAACAGGAGCACAGGATGACACGCCACCGCCTGTCTGGAGAGGCCTTCCCCCAGCCCCAGGTCTTGTTTTTTTATATCCCTTCCCTTCTTTTCTCTTTTGAGGAGCTTGAATAAGATCTGGCTGATAGAAAACTGCAATGCTTGCAAGCAACCTAAATTTGATTCGAGGCTGTCTAGATTTGGGTTCACATTCCCATCTTCTGTGAGAGAGAGTAAAAAAGCCTAATTTTTAGCTAGAGGCATGTATAAAATAAAACATATATTTTACTCTAGATATTTTTTAACAACACATAATGGGCATTTCTGGAAATATTTTCCCATTTTAACTTTTGTGGTTTTGGATGGGGAGAGCTGGTCCTAATTAAGTCTACTTTCTAACTTTTAAGAACGGCTCGATTTATCTTTAACATGGTTTTCATTTTTCCTCTTTCTGGTGCCTGCCTAAAGCCATTTGGGACCGTCCCCTCTCACATTCCCCAGGCAAGGCAGAGACTGGGCAGGCGGCTCATGCCTCCATGACGCCCCCACCCCCAGCTCCCAGCAGCACCGAGCAGTCACTGCCGGGCCCTAGGAGGGTCTGAGGCCAGGGTCATTGAGGCCTTGTGGGGCACATGCTTGGGAGGGCTGCCCCGGTCTCCTCCCTGCCATCAGTGCTGATGGAAACAGATCACTCTTGCAGAACACCTCCACGTGAGCGGCAGCACCCCGTACTTCGAAGGGAACTCCGGAGGCAGGGCTTTGTGATCCCGAACAAATCACTCACCTTCTCTGTGCCTCAACGTCCCTTTCTGCAAAATGGAACTAAGGAACAGCACCCGTCTCACAGAGTCATAGGGAGAAGGGGATGAGCTAGTCTGGAAGAATGCCAGGCACACCCCGGGCCTCCGTTCATGCGAGCCACCCGGTCACCATCTTCATTCATCATCACCCTCAGCCCTCGTCTTTACTGTCAGACCCCTCTCGTCAGCTTAAGGAATCAGGATTCAAACTTGTGCTTGCTTGGCACGGACACTCTCTGAACCAATTTTCTCAAACTCTTTGGACTGTGAGCCACAGAAGAACTACAGCTCACTGTGGTGATGCCCTCTGAGGCCTCCTATTTTAATAGATTTTGCTGCTTTTTATTGGTACTCATGAACAACTAAGAGGATTTTGTGATGTCCCCCGAACTCCTGGGTTCAAAGCTGCTTTTAATCGCCTGTGGGTGCCCACAGATGGCAGAAGAGGAGGCCTAAAGGACAGAGAAGTCTGCCACGAGAGCAAGGCTCACGTTTACCAATGACACAGCCCACCGCCCTGTGACCTCTCCGTGGCTCAATCTCATCTTTCACTTACCCTGTCAAAAGCGTTCTTGAGTGAGGACTCCCAGACCTCCGGGATGCTGTCAGGTGCTATACAAACTGTGTTGATCAGATTCTCAGAAAGCTCAGATAATACTGATACATACTATTTACTGAGCTCTTCCTGTATGCCTGACACAGGTTTTAAAACCCTCAGAATCATCTTGTAAGATACCACTATTTACCCCAGATTTTCAGAAGGGGAAACTGAGGCACAATGGCAGGAAACTTGCTTAGGGTCATGCACGATTTCCACCCCTCAGGTTCATGCTGCTCTTCTGCTTCCCAAATCAGGAGAGAAAGCATTTAGGCAGATTTAAGGCATTGATATAAAAACTGAAAAACATTAACATAAAAATAATATATTGTTATTACTAGATTTTAAAAAAAAAATCAAAGAATAAGTTTTACCCTTGACTATGCAATAGTCTGAGGGTTTAAATTCCAGCAGGCTCTCCCCTACAAGCTTTAGGTCTGGGGCCGCTGGGCAAATAGTTTTCTAACCTAATTGCCAGAGGAGGGAAGGGGGCTTGGTGCTACCCTCCAGCTAGCATTCATTCACCTTTCCATCTGAGGAGACTGAGTTTTGAGAAGGGAAGCAACTTGCCCCAAACCCTGTGGCAACTCAGGGGTACCATGGCCCCAGGGGTTAGGACCCCAGGTGGCAGAGGAACCAGATGGGGGATGACAGTGGTGGAAGTAACAGTGCCATCGATCCCCACCCAGACAGGAAGGGTGAGATCAACGGTGCTGCTTGGAGCCCTCCAAATACCCCTTGAACTGGCCACTGCCTGGGTTACAGCAATGAGGACCGGAGGAAAGAAAACGGGTGCGCCGCTGTGTTAGAATACTACGTAGTCATTAAAAGATCACACGTGCACATGTTCAACATGACAGAGTCAGGGAAAGGCAAATTAAATCATCAATGGTATCCCTTTATTTTCCCTATCAGATGTCAAACATCTGCTAGTGTGATCATGCGGTGGACACTGAAGTAGCTCTCACCGCAGAGTTGTTGATAAAATAAAGGTCAAACCTCTTCAAGCTGAAAATAGTAACCTGGTGACAGTGATCAGGCTCCTGGCCTCTGAGAACCACCCCCCCCTCCTTGGGGCCCACGTTATCCAGGGCAGATGTGTGTCCCCAGAGCCCCCAGGGGCTCTGTCTCTGCCATGTGTGTCTGGAAGCTGTTGACCATTCAAAGCACCCATATTCCTAACAAGCACATGACAAGCCAAGTTGCTCAGAGAGTGAGGAGCCCCTTCCAGGAAGTTCTCTGAAGCTGGGCAGACTCCCGCTCTTCCTTCCCAGGGGACTCCACCTGCATGGTCTCCCCCAGACTTGGTCCTAAAGCCTGCCCCTGCCACTTACATGCAGACCCCCGTGGAGGACATATGGGCACATGTGATCTTGTGCAGCTCTCCCAAAGACACTTTGTTTGGATTCCAGAATCCTCCAATCAGTGAAGTGCAAATCACTAGGACAGAAATTGTAGTTTTTCCCAACCATGTTGGTAATGAAAGAATTCACGTTTCCTGTGTATCACGTTCCCAAGGACCCAAGACAGCAGAGGCCCATCTGTGAAGAGTAGGGGCGCCAACCTGCTGCAGGTGTGGGAGCCCTGAAGGCGACCCTCAGAACCCAGTCCTGTGTGGTGGATGGAGGTGAGGAGCAGGCACACGAGGCTGGGAACCCAGCGCTCTGTGGCTCCAATGAGAAGGCAAGGCCGGGCAAGGAAGCACAGCTGTGTTCCAAACCAGTCCCAGTAAAGGGAGATGCCAGCTGGTTGGAAATTACCCGGTACACTGGGCTAGAGGGAGCCAGGACTCTCTCCAATAACGTGCGAAGGAGAGTGAGTCCCACCTGGTGGCACCAGCAGAGGGCGGGCTTCCCGGACGCTGGGACTGAGCAGCAGCCCCAAGTGCAGCCCTGTGCCATGCGTATGAATCACCCTGGGAAAGACAATGGCCTGGAGAGAAGCATGGTGCCGACCAGGGTCAAGCCTTCTGGGGAAGAGACCAAGAAGGCCCACTGAAGTCAAAATAAAGCAACTGGTCCAGTGAAGGTGGCAGAGCAGGAAGACAACAGGACGCTCCCTGCAAAGGTGCAGGAGGCCGCTTGGCGCCCAGTCTGCATGGCGCTGCTTAGCGAGATGGCCGCCGGAGCCTCCGTGGTGACCAGGAGGGCACCAAGGAGCCTCCCACACAGGATGCTCCCCTGCCCACGGTCTAACCCTTTTAATCTAACTAATTTAATGTTCACGACAGCTCCAGGAGGTAGGTACTATACCGTCATGCTCATTTTCCTGGGAGAAAAAGAACAAAACCACGACTGAGGTGGAGAGAGGAGAGATGCTTAGCAGCACAGGGCCGAGGTCGGATTCGGACCCCGGCAGGCAAATGCCCAAGCTGTGTGCCTCACAACAGGGTGAGCCTGCGTCTTGGTAGGAGCAGGTTGAAGAGGTCGTGTGCATTAGGTACAACACAAACCACAGAGCCTGACATGAGCACCAAATCTCAATCATAACAAATTAGTCGTGGGGATGAAAGTAGAGGACAGAGAAGAGAGTCGATGGTTCCGCAACGTCTTTCTGTGTTGTCAGGTAGTGACTACACTAGTGGGGGTGAGCAACTAATAATGTGGGTCACTGTTGTATACCTGAAACCAATATACTATAGAATATCCACTATATATCAATAGAAATAAATATATTAAAGTAAAATGAAACGGGTGAGAAAAAAAGAAATGAGCTTATTGATGAAGTGTTACAAGAGTGCTTGGCACGTAAGTGTTCCATAGTACTAGCTACTACTAATACTATTAACATCATTTCTATTGGGAGACGGGATGTGTTTCCGTGCTCTCTTAGCATGATGATGTTAGGATGTTTGATCTAATGAATTCCCTTTTGCTTTGATTCCACATTTACATGGGAATTTCCCAATGATCGATTTGCTTCACTGGGAGAGACGAGTCAGTCTGGCCCTCTCTGCTTTGGATCTACAACTATTAGTTTCATTGCAAATCAACAAATAGTCTTACAAAAAAAAAAAAAAAANAGACTTAGTACAGACGGAGAAGGAAATAGGTTAAATTTCTAAGACAGAGATAGGCTCTTGCGTTTTACAGGTGAGGCAGAACACCGGGGATTTCTGCTGGCTGAGACATGCAGGGGGCAGAGCACCCGGCGAGAGGAGAGACTGCACGAGAACCGTGATGGGGCCGCATTTCTGAAAGGACGCCACCCCAGCCTGGGACTGCAAGTGGGCCCCCTCCACTTCCTCTGGAAAGCAGGACAGAGAGGATGCGAGCAAAGCGGGCTGGGTGCTGAAACCTCACAGAGGGCCCGGGGCAGGTGAGGGAAGGCGAGAGACCTCGGGGAGCGGAGAGCCGGGACCGGCAGGAGCGCCTGGGGAGGCGCGCTCCAGTCCAGGACAGTCCGCCTGGATTCGCACACAGGCAGCGGCGTCTGGCAGATCTGACTTAATGGGGAAGGAGTCAGAAGACTGGCAGGGCTCAGCTGCGGGCATGAGGAGAGCTTGGCCGCAGTGCCGGAGGCCTGTCTGTGTGCAGAGAGGTGCAGACGCTGTGCGGCCTGGCCGGAGGGGTGGCCCACGGGGTGGGAGGAAGGGCGCCGTGGAGCCCTGGGCTGCTCACCGCAAGCACAGGCTGCACCCGGGACATGCTCGCAGGCGGGTTCTGGCCCTGACTGCAGTGGGCAGAGCCTCCTGCTGCCCAGCAAGGTTAGACCCGGGTCCCCGAGGGCGGCAGGGCCCAGGCCTGCCCTGAGGAGGAGCAGGGTTGACCTGCTGTGGTGGAGGGACCAGGCCATGGAGGGGACGGCGCCAGCAGACGGCACAGAGCAGGCAGGGAGTGGAGTCATAAAGCTGCAGGCATGTGCAGGAGTCATGGCCTCCGCATCCCTCTGGTGGCCGGGGTCCCCCCATCAGCTCCTGGGGCCGCCTGCAGGCCTGGGAGCGGGTGCAGTGCACCTGCCACACCACAAGCCACAGACCACTCACCACATCATCTCGGTCTTCCCACTCCACCTCGGAGAGGTCCACGCTGCTGTAGTTGGGGCTCCTTCGCTTTTTCCCTTCTTCGTACTGTTGGGGAGAGTCGGGGAGGGGGGCGGAGAGGCACTTCCGTGAGGTCACAGCCATGGTAACTGTCATCCTCCCAAGTCCCACTTCAGGGGCGGGGACTGTTAGAGGCTAGCAGGGTGGCACTTCTCGGGGTTCCAATGGCAGGAAAAGGACACCAGCTGCCCCGAGTCGGGGGACATTCAAGTCACTTCTCCCTCTGTGTGACCCACCTAGTGGCCTCCTGGCCCTAAACATGCCAGATGCCAAGCAGAGCTTTCCCCTCCTTGGATGGCATGGCATGGGATGGGGAGACCCGTCTCTGCTCCAAAGCTTTCGAAATCCACCACTTCGTGACACAGGAAAGAGCTTCCTACAGAGTTGGCCAAAACTCTAGTCACAAGCCTCTGTTTCATAGTTGCCCTCGGCCGGCCTCCTGTCTTAGACCTGGCCTAGGGGTCAAAAGTTCTGTTCCTGCAGCTGGGCTCTGACAGCCCAGGAACGTTCGCAGACACACAGAACCTCCTCCTCGCCGTCACACTGGCCACAGCAGTACTGAGCTGAGGCCGGCTGCCGTCGCTGGAGCAGGCGTGGGTGTGGGGAGTCACCGCCAGGTCTGGGGCTGTAGGGCACGCCTCTGGACCAGCTCATGGAGCGTTGACACCCGCCCGGGCAAGTGATCTTAGCTTACCCCCGCCCCCCGGAATCCCTTGTGTTAGCCTGCGAGCCTGCCCTGTTAGCAACTGGATGTTCGTGCATCATGAGGTCTTGGATGCTGGTTGTGGGGGTGTTTATGATGCAGGAAGGTCTGCCCTCTACTGCAGGCTAAGGACAAGTAACCTTGCCCCAGTTCCGACGTGGCTAATGACATATTGGAGAAAGCACACCTGTATGTATAGGTTGTTTTCTGTTTTGCTATCATCTCTATGTTGGTCATCCTTTGCTATAACTGGTAAGAGTAAGTGAGACCCAGCATCAGTTCGTGTTTTAAGTCCCCCAAACCGCAGGTTACCATTTTGGACCCCGCTTGGCTACCATGGAGACAGGCACTGACGCCCTTGGCTTGAAGGAGAAAATCACTGCTGAACCGACTGGGTCTAAGCTGACCCCCCAGAAGCCTAGGGGAGCGAGGCCAGACAGGGCGGGTCTCTAGTTGCCAAGGACCAAAGAGGACCCTGGGTTTCCCAGCCTTCGTTTCTTCCCAGTGACATGAGACGTCTCTGGAGAGTGCACCCACCCCTACTGCCCAAGGGGCTGCCTCTCCCCTGAGAGGGCAGTAGGCTCTGACCCCCTGGTCAACTGCCCCTCAACTCCCTTCTCTCAGGTTTCCAGTTAACAAGCATTCACAGTCAGTTTTTGATGTCGGGTCCTCTCCAGATGAGGGGGGAGTGGTCCCCCAGAAGCACTGTAAAAGAGAGCAGGCCTGCAGTTCGATGCCCTTATGGAAAGTTCAGGTGCCTGGAAACTCCGGCCCTTAGAAAGTCAGGCTGCGCTGAGTGACAGGAGTGTGAGGTCACCCATGTCTCACCACGGGGACTGTGACGGGGGATACAGCACAATGCTAAGCCTCGTGATGGTCCCCGAGAAGCTGGGGCTGACATTCTTGGACCTTTGTGACCTGTACAAATGGCCCCCAAGTCCCATGTTAGTAAGAACCATTGCTGAGGGCCACAGGTGTCCCAGAAGTTCATGTGACCCAGCTTCTGACCGTAAAAGGCAGAATTGTCAATTTCTTGGGTAGCCTAACAAGGTCTGAATGGTCATTTTTGGGCAAAAGTTCTTCCTTTCGTCATTTCAAAATGCTCCTTTATTCATTTGTTCAATGTATATTTATCAGGCAAACCTCATAAGGACAAGGTAGTAAGGATGTAAAGTCGAACAGTCTCATTCTTTCCCAAGGTCCTGCTTGCAGTTTATTGCCCTTAATTCCACCTAAGGTCAGCTTATTGCCCAGCATGCAGATGTATGCAACTGGGGCTACAACAAATTATATCACAAGGCAAATAAGATCACACAGCCAGCATGGGGAGGAAACCCTCACCTCCCAGCACCCCTGACCAAATTTTCATGGCTAAGCCTCATGTTATTTCAATCACTGCCAAAGAAATTCACAAAGACTCCCAACGTCCAGGGCATCAAATGGTCCTTCATCCTCAGAAAGGGCATCCACTGGTCTTTGCTAACAGAGGGGTGACTCTGCCACTTCCTGGGCATGTGACCCCAGGCAAGGTGCCCAGCGGCTCCACACTTCCTTTTTCTCAGTCGCAAAATGAGAAAAACAACAGACGCGCCATAGCAAAGGTTGGTGGAGGGGATTTGCTAGAAACCATATGTAAAATGGCAAGCACATTCCCAGCACGGAGTTAACCCTTAATGCCTGGCTAGCTTGATGCCTGAGAGGTGTGACCCTCTTGGTGAAGGCCTGGGCTCCCTCCGTACAACTGGCTAATACGTCGTTCCCCTGAGATGGAGACCCACTCAGTAATTCTGCAGGTCTCTGTTCTGCAAACCGCAGGCAGTGCGTGTTTGTTGAAGATGATGGTGTCAGAAGTCACACACGCCCTCTGGAAACGCCATTCAGGGTGCCTGTCCGCAGTGTCTGCTAACCAGGTATGTGAGACAGGTCTGGAATGCTTCCTACCTGGGTCTTAGCAATGGGTGAGATCTTCAGAATGTAAACAGTAGGGAGGCAGAGTAACTTCCTTTGAGAAAAGGAAGCCAGTAGGCTGCTGCATGGATCAAACAGGTTGAGGGCAATGAGTAAATGCCAACGCGATGACTTCGAATCCACTTTTACCTTTTCTCCCATTAAGAGACCATATTAGGAGGCCAGAGATTAGACGTCCATTAGAAGGACACCTGTTCTGTGGACTTCCACCCCCACCCCCCACATGTTCCGGGGAAATCACCTTGGTTTTCCTTTAGGGCATCCCCTGGACCCTGCTCTCAGTAAATATCATTCTAGGGAAGGCAAGGCCAGCCCGATTCAGAGGTGGGCAGGTGACCTAAGTGTGCGAGGGAGGCCCACATCCGGGGCACAGTGACTGGTTCAGGGCTGGGGGTGTAACTCAAGCCAACCCAAATGAGCCTCCATCTGGGGTGCTTTCCAGGATTCATCCAGAAATAGAAGCGCTCCATTTGGTACTGTCACTGAGGTGGTAGGATGTGAGCTTGAGCTCCTCATGGGCATCTCTGCCTTGATTTGGACACAGCCTTCCTGAGAAGGAAACCAGCAGAGAAAGCAAAGATGTGAAGAGAGTCCTGAAAACATAGTGTGCATGCCTGGATCAAGCTGTGCCTGAAATCTTCTTACCTAGGGATGCTTGTTTACCAACACATTCTCTCCATATGACCCTCCTTCCCTTTTTTAAAGAAGTTTTAAAGCTGGCTTGGGTTTCAAGCTTAAGTACGCATCTGAATTCCAACTTGTACATATTTCGTGCCTTATTTTTTTCTTTTTAAATGAACCACTTTTAAAGTACTATTGAAGAGAAAGATTCACAAACTTTGGTCCTTTAATGATTATTCAGGAACATGTGATTTGCAAAATAGCTCACTGCTCATCAGGATAGACTGCTGTGTTTGGGCACAGCTGGTCCCCGTGCCTGCTTTCACCCAGGAGGACATCTGTGTGGCCACAGTGTAAGAGAGTGACCGAAAAAAGTACCCCCTCGGTGCTCCGACTGCCAGGCCGGATCTCCCCTCTCTTGGGGATGTGGCCAGGGACAAATCCCAGGTCCACCAGCCCCACTCCCTCTTCCCCTGCGTGCGGATCTCGTTACTGGGGCTGAGGCATCGGATATGGCATTTGTTAGTGTATCTATAAACTGTAACTTCCTTTGAAAATGTGATTAACGAATTGCAAACGGTTTCCAAAGGTTTATAAACAGATACTTTGAGAGCCACGGGTAGGTTTGTAGTTTTTGGTGCCTGCTTTATGAAAAAAATATGTGGGGGAGAATTTAATAAGGAAAGATATTCTGTGCTATGAAATACTTTGAGGTGGAGTCTCAAATAAAGGCCAGATGTGGTGAACACACAAACCAGCCTGTGGCCAGGGGAGGAGAGGACACGGAGGGCACCCCTCTGAGCAGCAAACCGGGACCATCCGGGGGCATGCCGTAAGTGCTGGGACCTTCCTGGCAGCGTTTGAAATTGCCGGGATGTGAGTGCCTTTTGCATCACCTGTGTCCTGACCTTGGAAGGATAACGGGATGGGCTAAGGCGATGGCCACCCATGCCCATGTTGGTTTGACAAGAATAAAAGTGCCTTTGGCTTTTCTGTTCTCTTGGAAATGGTCAGAGGAAATCGGCCACATACATCCGTGCAGCCTCTGTGAAACAAATACTGTGTGTGCTAATAATTGATAAGCGGTACATGCCGCTCCACATCACCAGCAGGAAGGAAGGAGATGGGGCTGGGAGGCCCACGGCTGCAGAGGAAGAAGCCTTGTCCAAAGCCCATGCCATCTGGAGCAGAGGTGTGGCCGAGGGCTGCAAGCCAGCCATTGTCTGGCAGATGTTTCTCTCTAGAGGCAGCCCCAGTGCTCAGCTTGGTGAACACCATCCCCACCTCGAGGGGCCCTGAGTCGCCTTCTATCACTGGAGGCTGATGTGGCCATTCCAGAAGGAAAAGAGGCACGTATCTCCTCCGTGGGAAGAGAGCAGGGCCTAACAGCTACTGGGCACCCCGTTCCTTCACTCCCCCATCTGTTCATTCCGACTTGCTCGTTTGTTCTGCACATATCCTAAAATGCTGTTGGACACTGAATATTTATTAGGCCCTGAGCCAGGCCCAAGTGAGCCATGGGAAAGCACAGAGAAGCTGTCTGCGGACACCCCCGCCCTCCACTTGCGGATCATGATTCAGTCAGGCCCATTAGGAGAGCATTGAACGCTGGCCTCAGAGCCAGATGCAGGCCCTGACCAGGTCTCCACCTGTAGGCCACGTGCTCCAGGGCCAGTGTGCCCTTTTCTGAGCCCTGAGTTGCTCATCTGTAGGATGGAGGTAACAGCATTCAGCT